AGAGTTTTCCCTAAAGTTTCGGATTTTTTTAGGCAAAAAGCGAAAATACGAGACAAAAAATATGTCGTATATTCGCATTCCATCTGTCGTATTTTCGCTTTTTCGCATTGAAAATACAAAAATGAGAAAACACAAACAGACGACAAGTTTATTCTTTTTTTTTTGCATTGTAACAGTTCGCATTGTTCAATTTTTGTCTTTTCGCATTTTGTTACATTTTTGCGCCTGCTTAACAATTTGCGTCTGCTTAACCGAAACACTAAGATGCAAAAAGCATCAAAAATGCGAAAAAGCCAAAACACGAAGAGACGACAAAGTCAACTTTATCGATGTCCATTCGTGTTTTCGCATTTTTGCATTTTGTAGGCAAAGAAGCGGAAATACGACAATGTGTAAATCAGCCGCCATATACTTAACGTAAGTGATTTAAACTTTTATATGTCTATGTTTACAAAATGAGTCTATAATAAATTAATATTATGACCGATATCCAAATTTTATAATCTGTAAAAAAGTAAAGACATCAAAATGTAAACCCAACTTAAAAGGATAAACAAAGTACTATTTTTTATGAAAAATCTATTGTATAGCGGTTATTTCACCTTTTTATATTACGGTTTTAACTTGCAAATACTATTTGAGCATTTATCTCTAGTAACTATACACCGACTCGTTTAAATATATATATTTTTAAATCTAGTTTTGTTTACGGTATAACATCCGTACAGACATCAAAATGTAAACCCAACTTAAAAGGATCAACTAATTACTATTATTTTTTATTAAAAATCTATTGTATAGCGGTTTTTTCACCTTTTTATGTGCAAATACTAAGAGGATATTTTTTCGTTTGAGTGAAATATGGAATATATTTTCACGAAACATGATAAATGCCACATATTTTCACGAGCCGGGACGGCGAGTGAAAATATGTGGCATTTTATCATGTTGAGTGAAAATATATACCATATTTCACGAAAAACGAAAAAATAACCTTTTCATTTAATTTCATTATGAAAGAAAAATGGTTACGAACCCCCATGCATGCTACGTAACTGCAATTGTACAGCGCGCAGTAATACAATTTTTGTCTTGTTTTGCAAACGATATTTAGCGCTACATTGTGACGTCACGTAAACAACTCTTTAAACGTCTGTACAGCGTTAATGACTGAATTAAAGATATTAGTGTTCAGATTTATTTTCTTAGTTAGACCATTATCTATCATTCTAGATAGTTTTCAAAACAAAATTCAACAAAAAATTGTTTTGTATTTACAGTATCAGATTTTTCAAACAAAATGGCGAAAGAAGTCCCTTGAAATAAATATGAGATTTGACTCCGCCCACTTTCATATTTATATTCCATATTTATTTTGAAAAAATATGAAATATATTTGACTGATATAGCACCATATTTCATAGGTAAAATTAAATAATATTTGAGCATTTTATCTCTAGTAACTATACACCGACTCGTTTAAATAAAACGTTTAAATCTAGTTTTGTTAACGGTATGCGTATTATAAATATGCAGGATCGATATTATGAAATAAGGTGATATATAAACGTATATACGTAGAATTTACTATTCGTGTGTCTTCCAGGAAGGAAATTAGAATGTGCGATGTTTAAACGAATTTGTTTACAAGTAACTAGGGAAGTAAATTGTGTCTTTTCAAAAACAAGACGGATTTTGAACGTCTTTCATGTAAGTATAAAGTCAATTTATGATTTTGAAATAATATTGAGCTTTGTAAAATAAATTCTTTAGATAGATTATTGTATTTATGTCACAATCGTCAAATTTTCCCTATTCACTTTACGCTTAACACTATGACATTATAAATGTTACCTCAAACAAATTTGCATGAAATGTGTCAGTTACTTGAATGTCATCATTCTTATAAGGAATAAACATTTATAAATATTCCGATCATTCATAAATACAAATTTATTTTTTCTATCAACAGACTATTAAAAAACATACATGTTTTGCTGCAGTCAGGTGCATTATCATTATTATACATGCATTTAAATCTCTTTTCTGATGTCAGGTGCATCATAATGATTCCCTTTTGTATGTCCTTACTGCGGTTAAGTGTATAATTATCGTTATATGTGTTTGTCAATTATTCGTGCGTCATTAATATACCAGCTCATGTTTTGACTCCTGTATTATATGTCATAAATATATCGTTTATTCTTTTCAACACTTGGTGTATCATAATTATACGATTATATGCTTCTGTACCGTTAGATGTATCATAATATTACTGCAGTTACTGTATGATTTATATACCGTTATAAATGTGTATAAAACCGTTGCAATAACGTGTATCATAATTATACATGTAATTAAATGTATAATTATTATGTCGATATATGTATTAACTACAGTAAAATGTATCATAATTATACCATTATATGTGTTTACTCCAGTAAAATGTATCAGACATGTAATTTTATCATTATATGTGTTACTGCATTAAGTAACATACAGTTACCATTAGATTGTCTTAACTGCAGTAAAATGTATCATGATAATTAATTATACCATTATATATGTTAACTGCAGTAAATGTATCATAGATATAGCATTATTTGCCTTTATTGCAGTAAACTGCATCATAATATACAATTGTATGTGTTTACTGCAGTAAAATTACGGAACATAGAAGAACCAAAAATGTGTGTTATTATGCTATAAAATCACTGTTTACGTTCTATATTTAGACATATGAAGTAAACTGGTGTCGGTAAGATCCTAATGCGAAGCGTTAATTAGGAGCTGATTTTAATCACGTGTTTGGTAATTATAGATCATCAACAGTGATTTTATTGCGTAATTACACGTACTTTCTGCTCATTTATGTCCAATAAGGATAAATGCGGGTCGTGTTATAATGTATGATATTTATATGTGTTAATTGCTGTAAAATGTGTCCTAAATATACCAATTTATATGTTTGCTGTCGTAAGTTGTATCATCATTATACCATTATACTAGTATGTCTTTACTGCAGTTAGATTCATTGTAATTTTAGCATTCTATTTGTAAACTGCAGGTAGGTGTATTATTATTATTATTATGCTATTTCATATGTTTTTATTGCAGTAAGGTGAATCATTGTTATTTAACTGAATCATATTTTTTGGAGAAATTATTTTGGAAAACCATAGCAAAGTGACCATAAATAACGTTATTTTGTCACAGGGTTAAATTTTTCAGCAAATACATGTATATCAATAGCCAACCGTTTTAAATCATTTCTGCTAAAAATGTATATCGTGTCCGGTCAATAGAAAACACGTTAGTGTTAGTATTTAACGATATGAACATTTTTTCCTGAAAAATCTAGTTAAGATAAGCAAAGAAAAAATGCACATAAATGATTATTTAATGCAAGTAAAATGGTCGTAATAAGTTAAATTTCATATGTGTCCGATTCAAACTATTAGAGCCATATATCTAGATTATAAAAGTGTTTATATATCTTTAATTATGTCTGACTAAAGTTTTTTTAGATGAAAATATTTGTTAAAAAGCATCATAGATTTGTCTTGTAATACTATCTTATATATTTGATACTTTTAGATATAATGTAATTGTATCTTAATATGTCTTAACTGCAGTGCGAAAATTGTATGCTTACCATGATAAGGCTTGGCATAGTTAGGTATAGCATGAAATATGTCTTTATTACCGTTAGGTACATCATTAGTATCGCTATTGTAAAATGCCATTGACTTTTCTGCAGTGAGGTGAATCTTAAGAAAAATAATAAAAGCAGGAATGAGTGCTGTCAAGCCAAAGGCCAATAACCAGGGCAAAAAAGTCGTCAAAATTAATGACAAAAATAGGTAAATCCTTTTATGTTATTTTGTCTAAACATATATTTTGGAATTGCAATAAAATAATTGTAAGAAACCTGTAAAAATAAAATTTTCGATTGTAATGTTTAACTTTCTTAATAGTCTCTGAATGTAATAAATGTGTTAAAGTGTCTTAATAGCATTTAAAAACTATATCTATTTAAATGAAATGCTTATTGTTTTGCCAGCGCGTCATCAAGTACGTCTACACCGAAACAAAGTGAGAAAATAAAAAAGCTTCAAGATGAGATCACGGAACTTAAGGCAAAGCTAAATATGTATCAATATCACATGGACCCGTATGTACTATACTTTGGAATATATTTTCATATCTTTATTGAAAACTTCAAAGAAAATATTAGGTATTGATCATTTTATGACAATTTTACAAAGATAAATAAATGTTTGGCTTCTGAACAATCAAACTGATAGTCATACCGACTATAAAATGATGCGGATAACAATTGCACCATTAAGTGTCAGTATGCCCTAAAGTGTAAAAAGTGGTGTGCAGGTCAAAGTAAAAAAACACAACAACTTCGATTTTATCATAACTGTTTTAAATTAGTCCAGTTCATTAGTATTATTAATAACCCACGTGACTCACAGAAAAAAATATAGAAAATGTATAGATTACGTTCAATAGATGAAAAAAGTTGAACAGTCTTTCTTGTATTTTAGGCAGTTGCTATTTTCAAGAATTTTCAACATTAATTTTGGGTTAATGACCATTGTAATAGTAAATGTTTTCAACTCAACTCGCACACAAAAAATGAGCATAATGTCACTTTAATTATGTCAAATAAAGGTTGGTTATTTAAATTGTCTTATAGGGATTCATGTTCTAGGTAAAAAGTAGTTGTGTTGCCAAAGTTTTAACATTTTGTTAATATGAAATTCATATGAATATTCTGTGAGTAATCGAAAGAGAATTGTATATAGTTTTTCAAACTGCTTAGGAATATATGCTTGTGGTGGTATTTCTTGTTACCTGATTTCTTTTTTTTTTCAGAATCAAGCTTGAGGAAAAGTTTGGCATACCGGAAGATAGTTTGGTCAATATGTTAAGAAATGAAAATGCGGAGTAAGAGAAGCATGTTTGTTCGATTAATTAATAAAATCCGTAGATATAATTACACTTGATTGTCTATATCCAGTAAGATGATTGCTGGCTGGTCGTACCCAAACTTACGCATGCGTCTGAATTAATGAACTAAAAAGAAAGACATACACCACATGGTGTCATGCGTGTCAGACTGGCTTTGAAATATATAAAAATGGGAACCTTAAAGAACGCCTAAAACGGCAAAAGAAAATACAACAGGCTAGACTTGTCTGAGTCTGTTCACGGACGGCAATGGTAGGTGCAAGCTTCCGTCCACGACCCCATTCATTGGCTGATGCAAAATTAAGTATTATTTTTACATGAACATTGATGATGAAATTTTGAGTGTAGAAACATCTCAAAATAAAATCTTACGGTGCTACCATTATATAATTAATTTGACACTTTAGTGTGTTTCTATGAAAGATAATGAACGGTAGCCGAAGAAAAAAAATGTGTTCTGAAAAAGAAGATAACAGTCATAATTAATGGAATTTAAAAGGGGTCAAGGGTTATTACAGAAAGCAGCCAAACGCAGGCAACATATTCCACAAATTAACAAGAAATTGTGAAGTAAACTTTATTGAACATGAACAGGCTCAGTCAAACTTTCAATTTTGACGTGTTGGACTTTCTTTAGGGATTCTGTTTTTCTCCTATTTTACTGGGTTAATGAAAGATGCGTAATATTTAATCTTCCAATTTTTATTTCATATTTCAGATTGAGAATGGAGCTGGCCAAGTTCACTTCTGGAATTACTATCAAGAGGTTATTTCACAATTTTATTATCTACAGAAGGAAAAAGACATTACATAACTTTTCTTTCTTGTTTAACACATTAACTAGTCCCTTGCCAAAATAAACAGAGGGGACTTTAGGTTTACTCTTTATCTGTCTTGAGTTTCTGTCTGACCGTCCGTAAACATAACTGGATCAGTAATTTCGCAAAAATTACAGAAAATATTTTTTTGAAAGGTAAATGGTAGTCTGGAAATTATGCACGTCTTTTTAGCTCACCTGAGCTTGCTCAGGGTGAGCTTTTAGGATCGTTGAATGTCCGTCGTCTGTCGTCCGTCCACACTTGTTCGTTAACACTCTAACGGTCACATTTTTGCCTCAATCATCATCAAACTTTGTCAGGATGCTTATCTAGTTGATAGTTCGGATGTGTTTGAACATGGGTCATCTTGGATAAAAAACTAGGTCACAGGAGCTAAAAAAAGAAAATCCTTGTTAACACTCTAGTGGTCACAGTTTTGCTTCAATCATCATCAAACTTGGTCAGGATGCTTATCTATTTGATAGCTAGGATGAGTTCGAACATGGGTCATCTCGGATAAAAAACTAGGTCACTGGAGTTAAAAATAGAAAAACCTTGTCAACACTCTAGCAGTCCTATTTTTGCCTTAATCATCATCAAACTTGGTAATATGCTTGTCTAGGTGTAAGCTCGGATGAGTTACTACATGGGTCATCTCGGATGAAAAACTAGGTCACCGGAGGTAAAAATAGAAAAAACTTGTTAACACTCTAGCGGTCACATTATTGCCTCAATCATCGTCAAACTTGGTCAATATGGTTGTCTAGGTAATTGCTCGGATGTGTTCGAACATGGGTCATCTTGGATAAAAAACTAGGTCACAGGAGCTAAAAATAGAAAAACCTTGTTAACACTCTAGCGGTCACAGTTTTGCTTCAATCATCATCAAACTTGGTCAGGATGCTTATCTATTTGATAGCTCAAATAAGTTCGAACATGGGTCATCTCGGATGAAAACCTAGGTCACAGGAGCTAAAAATAGAAAAACCTTGTCAACACTCTAGCAGTCCCATTTTTGCCTCAATCATCATCAAACTTGGTCAGGATGCTTGTCTAGGTAATAGCTCGGATGATTTACTACATGGGTCATCTCGGATGAAAAACTAGGTCACCGGAGCTAAAAATAGAAAAACCTTGTTAACACTCTAGTGGTCACATTTTTTACTCAAGTGTCATCAAACTTGGTCAGGATGCTTGTCTAGGTAATTGCACGAATGAGTTCGAACATGGGTCATCTCTGATAAAAAACTAGGTCACAGGAGCTAAAAATAGAAAAATCTTGTTAACACTCTAGTGCTCACATTTTTTACTCAAGTGTCATCAAACTTTGTCAGGATGCTTGTCTAGGTAATTGCTCGAAAACTGTTGAACATGGGTCATCTCGGATGAAAACTAGGTCACAGAAGCTAAAAAATAGAAAAATCTTGTTAACACTCTAGTGGCTACTGTTTTGATCCAAATAGCTTGTAAATTGGTCTGAAAGGTTGTTTTGATGATTTCTAGGTCAAGTTCGAATATGGGTCACCTGGGGTAAAAAACTAGATCACACTGCCCAATTATGGAAACACATTGTTAACGTTCTAGTGGTCACATTTTTGACTCGATTATCATCAAACTTGGTCAGGATGCTTGCCTAGATCATTGCTTTGATGACTTTGAACATGGGTCATATCGGTTGAAAAACTAGGTCACCGGAGCTAAAATTAGAAAAATTTTGTTACTGGCTAATGTTTTGGTCCAAATATCTTGTAAATTGGTCTGAAAGTTTGTTTTGATGATTTCTAGGTCAAGTTCGAACATGGGTCTTCTCGAATGAAAAACAAGGTCACACCGCCCAAATATGGAAAAACCTTGTTAACACTCTAGTGGTCACATTTTTTACTCAATTATCATCAAACTTGGTCAGGATGCTTATTTAGGTAATTGCTCAAATGAGTTCGAACATGGGTCATCTCGCATGAAAAACTAGGCCACTGGAGCTAAAAATAGAAAAATCTTGTTAACACTCTAGTGGCTACTGTTTTGATCCAAGTATCCTGATAATTGGTCTGAAAGTTTGTTTTGATGATTTCTAGGTCAAGTTCGAATATGGGTCACCTGGGTAAAAAACTAGGTCACACTGCTCAAATATGGATAATCCTTGTTATCACTCTGGTAGTCGCATTTTTGACTCACCTGTCATGAAACTTGGTCAGAATGCTTGTCTAGGTAATTGTTTGGATGAGTTCGATGGCTCAGGTGATCGATCTAAGGCCATCATGGTCCTCTTGTTATTTTCTACCTATGTTGAAAAATTTGGTCGCTACATCAAATATACTTCAAATATGGCAAGCTATGATAATGCAAAATGTACTGGAAATACATGTATTTTTATTGAAACTTGAAATATTGGTAGATGGCAGTCTGGAAATGATGCACATTTTTTTCTTCCTATGTTGAAA